AAGATAACATCCTCCACATGACAAATGCGTGTGGACTCTCAGCCATAAAGAAGACTTACATCATTTGCAGAAAAATGAAGACAAGTGGAGATACTGTAAGTGAATTACGCCAATCTTTAAAAGACAAATAACATATACATGTGGTTCCTGGGTTTTACTTATATACTTAAAACTGTAACATATATAAGACATCAAATAAACTAAAACTATCTAAAGGACGGGACTAACAAAGGAGTGTTGAGAAAAGCATGGACGACGAGCATAAGGGTAGTATCTCAACAAAAACTATTCTTGTACAAAAGTTCCCATGATTGTTTAAATACGTATGTGTATAGACTCAAAAACAATTAGATACTTGACCAATGGTATATACAAAAAAGAACAAATTAAAATAAGGCTAAAATTCAGTATCTCCTCTAAAACTACACTTAGACAATAGAAAAAAAAAAGGAGAGAAACATAAAGACCACCTGTGGTGTAATTAGAGAATATTGTAACTGTAACCTGGAATATAAGGTATAAGACAAAGGTAAAATAGGGAATCCCTTGGTATTACACAACAAAGAAATGAAGACAAGCTTGTTTTCAGTACTAGGTTTGAACCTAGAGCTTTTTGTGCATATCAACCAAGCACTCTACCAGTAAAGACTACCCCAGCTTAGTAAGGACAGTCTTCTATACCATAGGAGAACGATGGAAAAGAGGGCCAAATGGTCAGGTGTAAACTCCCTCACAAACTTGCAATCAGAAAGGCTGCAGGCTCAGGCATTCCCAGACTCAAGGGTGGGGTAAAGTGAAAACAGAGACTGGTGAGTTATCATCAGAAAGCTAGCACACTTGCTGCTTTCTTCTCGAATCCATCACTGGACCATACCACCTAAACTTACCTCTGAGAGGCGTTCCTTCCAGCTGACTGGATCTAGAGACTGGGCATCTATGGGGGAAGAGTCAAAAGTCTCAAATAGAGGATTCATAACCAAGCAAGACTGGGACCTTCTAGGAAGAAAAGAAGCCAGTGTCTCTTTCCCTGCCCCACTGAGAATGGCATGTGAGCACACAGTAGAGAAGGCAGACATCTGCAGACAGGGAAGTGACCCTTCCAGAACTCAGCCACATCGGAACTGATCTCATACTTCCAGCTTCCCAGCTGTGAAGAAGCTAACCTCACATCCGAGGCCACCCAGTCTAGGATACTTTCCTACAACAACCAGAGTGCGTAAGACACCATTTCTGTCTAGCATCTGACCCAAAGGAGACAATCAGGAAGCTTAGTCTGAAGAAGCTCAGAGTGCTTAACCCAGAAAACAACAAAACAGATAAAACCATGAGCTCAGTCAGTAAGTCCTGCCCATGCATGCTCAGGCGCATTCAATGAATCTTGGTAATGTTCTCTTAAATATCAAAGAACTGCTAAAAATAATATAGATTTGAGGACAGCTTCCAAATAAATGTGACCAAAACAAACAAACAAAAAAGGTTAAAAGAACCAAAAGCAAGGCAGGAAAACAGGATTTCAAAGAAACTATAATTAGTATCTTTGAAGAAACAACAAAGATGCTGAGCCCATTTAAAAAAAAAGCAAAAAAATTACAAGGGCTTATACTTTGTGTTGTTGTTGTTCAAAGCTAAAAATTTAAAAACCAGTGAAAAGGTCTGAAATACCTCAAAACAGAATAGACAACTTTTTAAGGATTAGTTTCTCTGAACATCAACATCAGAAGGCATAAAATAACACAACACCCTCTTCGAACTTTCCAGGGCAAACAGCTTGAGAAAAATCTCTCAAAAGATAAGCAACCAAGTGTGAGGGTAAAAATAAAATCCAAAACCATACAGTTTCTATATACTCCTTACAGTACTGCTAGATGGATGGATGGATGGATGGATGGATGGATGGAGTCTCAACTAGAAGGCATACCCCAAAGGACTTGAGTTCAAATACCCAGCACCTATGTACAAAGACAGACATGGTTGAGTGTGGCTGTAAGCTCAACATTAGGAGACAGAGAAACCTTGTCTCAAAAGAAAACAAAAAAATTCAGTCAAGCATGTGGTCCTTGTCTGCAATCTCAGCAGTCAGGATTCTTAGGAAGAAGAACACAGTTGAGTCAAGGCCAGCCTGAATTATACAACACTCTTTAATTTAAACCCTAAAAACTTCTATAGAACAGCTGCAGCTGTCAGCAGGCAGCCTTGGAGACTGCAGGTGTGTACCACATCAGCTCTGTACTCAAGGTGCCTAGACTTCTGATCGTTCCTTTTGATCTTCTCATTTATCCCCGCTAGCTTTAAAGGTGGGTTACAACTTACTCACCTTCATCGTATTGCTGGGCTAAGAAAATAAACAAGCATGCTTCAGACTCAACATTCACTCAATGTAGTCTCAGGTTGTTTCAAATACATGTTTATTTTATCTGAATGTTTTCTGTTAGGTCGACTGCCAATGGAAAAAAGATCTAAGCAGATGTAGCAGCTCACACCTGTAATCCCAGCACTGAAGAGGTGAGGCACAAGGATCACCGTCTGAAGCCAGACTGTTCTACATGGTGAGTTGGCCAGCTAGAGCTACAAAGGGACACCCTGTCTCAAAACAACATAATAAACGACAACCAACGACAAACGCCACTTCTGAAGATTCTTAAAACCCTTATGTAAATACAAAAGCAAATGTTTAGAGAGGCAGAACTACAATCTATTTTTCTTAAATTTCTTTATACCTGATTTCTGATACTAAGTCTGTTAAGTTATGGGTAATCAAGGGACTAGTGGGCTAGGATGACCACCTTAGTCATTTAAAAGTAACAGCCGTCAAACAATAGCCGCCTGCCATCCATTCGCGAGGATGTGTATAAGGCAGAGAAAATAGCACTAGACTGTAAATCAGTGCCTGTACACTTGAACTTCACCTACAGAACAAACGTACCTGAAACCTGTTACTTTGCGATCACATTTTTTTAGTTAAAACAGAACCTAAATTCAGTTAAATTCAAACTCTAGAGTCCACCAAATTAATAAAAAGCTATCTTTTGCTTTGAATTTAATCTTTTCTCAGTAAAATAAGTGTTTCTGCCAAAAAAAAAACCAAGAAGTATTTAAAGTTAATAGTGACTATATATTGCCAGGTGTGGTGGCCCATGCCTTTAATCCCAGCACTCAGGAGGCAGGCAGATCATGTAAAGTCACCTTGGTCTACATAGTGAGTTCCAGGACAACCAGAGCTATATACAGAGACCCCTGTCTTTAAGACAAAACCAGTCAACATCTAATCATCCCATACAGGTCATGGCAAATATTTCCCCACATCTTGATGTACAAACTATCACTGTTTATACTAAAAGTAAGCCATAACCCTTCAACAGAAGGGGTTTAAGTTTGGGGGATTACTACATTTATTGGAGGGGCACACTTGTGTCACAGAGTACCTATGGAGATCAGAGGAGACCATATGGGGAGCTGGTTCTTGTAGGTCCTGGGGATTCAAGTCAGCTGGTCATGCTACACAGCAAGTGCCTGAACCATCTCAACATTCCCAAAAGGATTTTAAATGGTGTTTAAAGTTGTAAAAACACTTAACATTAACAGACATCTTGCTATAAGTCATATAGACATATCTCATATTTTAGGCCAGTACTATTTCTTAAAATACTTATTTCTTTTCACCACTCAAAAACTCCAACAATGTAATACCTATACTCACTTCTGCAGAGAATTCAGGAAAAGCAAAAGAGCAGCTTACCCAAGTAAGAATGATTCCAAACTACGTATGGACAGACTCTGCAGCATTTTGTAATTTAAATTTTACATTTAACCACTGCAACATAGATTTAAAATGCCAGCCACCTAGAACTCCTAAGCAGAAGGAAACTAAATTTCATCCTCAAAACATCCCTAAGGCAATGCTCTAAATACCTAGGAGAACATTACACTGTTACACTGGGAACAAGGTACCACCCGACCATTACTTTGGCTTAGATGTAGAAACTATATAGTCACAGGTAGCATTCTTTTACATTGTGAATGATGAACCGTTCTATTCAGATAATTTTTCAATATTAGATACTATTAGATCAGCAAGGTTACTGGCATTTCACCAGCATTCCAAAACAGAATACTTCACAACAATGTGTGACAATGACAATGTATATTTATATAACCTCGTGATCACCTAAAGATCTACTTTCCAACCCATCCACTTTGTATTAGTCAGATCTCTACATTGCTACAGACAACTAGAATGACCCCTTATTTTAAAGAAATACCGAAAACTCTGCTAGCTTGCATTACAAAAGAAAACTGAAAAACAGTTGGGAAAATTTCCCATTCTTTTTTTAATGCAGAAATACTCTGGAGCCACTTGATTTAGCCAAAAGACGTCAAAACATCTGATTTTATCATTTACTGCACGGAGGGTGGGGGGGGAGAACATGGCTGAAAGCTTCTGAAGGGCAACAGGACCACTCAAAACATTTTAACAATATGAAAGGTGGGCACCTCAGAAACCGCACACTTGGTGCCCTGCACACGACCTCATTTCCCTAATAGGGTTGAAACGTTCTGGACCCTGTGCTCCCTGGTAGCTTCCAGCTTCCGCCAATACACCCGACCACCCACTTTTTTTCTTTTCTTTTCTTTTCTTTTTTGGACAGGATATGCTGGCGTTGGAAGCTGCGTCGCAAACATGAATTTCCTGCGATCCCGTCCGATCCCTTTCGTAATCTTTAAAGACCTGTTCTCTTCTGCCTCCTTAGCCAAATTACACTCAGGAGCGGGGTCCGCTAGACCCGCTCCTTCAATTCCTGCTGCGCGTTAACTGGAAGGCGAATCCGACACCGAAAACGAGGAGTTTCGCCCATCCTCCGGTCAGCGACCGCAACTCCAGGCTCCATTAACTTCTGGCCCCGCGGAAGGCTGCAGCCTGGACGCCCGGAGCCGCTGCCTCCCGCTCCCCGCGGGCTGGTCCCCGAGGCCGCCGCCGCTCCCCTCCCCCGCGCAGCACCCACCTCGCGGCAGCGGCTTCGCCTGGCCGTTCTCATCCCGGGCGGCGCCGCCGAGGCCGTGCCTCCGCTTCTCCTTCTCGCGCTTCTCCTTGGGTCTGCGCGGCTTAGCGGCGGCCGGCGGAGCGACGGGCGGGAGCAGGACGCGCTGAGGCTGCGCTTGCAGCAGCGAGGGAGTGACCAGCAGTTTGCGCGGCACCGGCTGAGACGAGGAAGCGGAGGCTGAGGAGACGCTCGGGCTCGCGGAGAAAGAGTAAGAGCTCCGAGAGGTGGTCGAGGAGGAGGCGGCGGACCGAGCCGCGAAGCTCCACGCCGCCGGGCTGCCGTAGCTCTGGGGCGGCGGGGCGGCCGGCAGCTGCAGCTGCCCGCCGTTCCCGCCGCTGGCCCCCTCCCCGTTCACTCTCCGCGGCGCTTTCTTCTCCTCGGTGCGAACCTTCTTGGCGGACATAGAACCCGATGGCTCCCGCGACGAAGGCTGTAGTTTGCCAAATGCTTCCTTCTCACAGAGGACAGCCACGGCGCCGCGAGCTGGGTTCGGCGGTTCCGCCATTTTGCGCTCCTGTTGTATTTACTCTCCGCCGCTCCCCGGAGCGGGGGCACGGGGCGGGGTCCCTAGGTCCAGGCCGAGCTCCCATTGGGCGTGCTAAACTGAGGGATCCTTGAACAAACCAATCAAAGACGCGGACAGAAGCCGTCGGGGTGGGATCACCGAGTGGCCCTTCTTTGGAGGTCAGAGGTCTTTTCGAGGCGGCTGACCGAGGGGTTGCTGAGAAGGCAAGGTCTTCCGACAGTCGCTCAGGGACCCCGAAACTGCGAGGACCGAGGTAGCGCTGCCGTTCGCTCAAAGACTTTGCCTTGTTCGTACGCGCTCTCTTTTTACCACGAGGTGTCTTGGGTCCCTGCTTGCCTCTCTGCACGTTCTGAAAAGCGGGTTCTGGCGTTGCTCGTCTCTCGGAGAAATTTTGTGGAGAGTCGGATCAGCAAAGGCTGAAATGGTGAAAAAATGCCCTATTTTAACTAAGGTCGTAAAAGTTCCTGCTATAAAAGAGACTTTTCTGCAGAGCTGGAACTTGGATAACTTCCGATCGTGAAAATAAAAATCACCCACCATTTGGGAGACTTTAAATTGAACTTGAGTGCTAAAGGTTTTCATTTCAATTATATTTTAAACTACACCAAGAAAAATCCATTAGCGGTGTTTATATTTGTTTTGTTTTGTTTGGGGTTTTTTGAGACACGGTTTCTCTGTGAAGTCCTGGCTGTCCTAGAACTCACTCTGTAGACCAGGCTGGCCTCGAACTCAGAAATCCGCCTGCCTCTGCCTCCCAAGTGCTGGGATTAAAGGCGTGCGAAACCACTGCCTGGCAAGCGGTGTTTATAAATGTTTGAAAATCCAGTTAGATTTCTGTATTTCAGAGTTAGCGCTAAGAAACTTCGCCAAGCATGTACCTTGATTTTATCTCAAAAGATAAGGAATTTGGGGGGATGGGTTACAACATAATTCAAGCTTTAGACAAGAGCATACCTTTAAGACTTAGATCTTGTGTGAGATTAGGGTGTAAGATAACATGTGGTCAATTAGTTCACCAGGGAAAAGGAGTTTTATGATCCCTAAGAGGGACATTAGCTGTTACTTTCTGCAGTCAACAGTTACCTGTCAGGAAATTGACCTCAGGAAACTGGAATGATCTGATATTTGGTCACTCTTCTTTTACTCCCATCCCACTTGCTTAGGTCTTGGAGAGGGGAGCACATCAAATTTTAACGTTGTTTATAAATAAATTTTTTTTAGGTTTTTGGTTGGTTGGTTGGTTGGTCCGTTTTTTTTGTTTGTTTGTTTTTTGTTTTTTTTTTTTTTTTTGAGTCATGGTCTTTCTATGTAGTGCTGCCTGTCCTGTAAACCACCCTGGCCTGGAACTCCTATCTATCTGCCCTTGTCTAACTCCCTTTTCCCCAGTGCTGGAATTAAAGAAAGGAATGTCCCACTGCATCTGTCCTCACTTTATAGTTTTTAGAAGTACATTTTTTTTTTTTGAGACAGGGTTTCTCTGTATAGTCCTGGCTGTCCTGGAACTCACTCTGTAGACCAGGCTGGCCTAGAACTCAGAAATCCGCCAGCCTCTGCCTCCCAAGTGCTGGGATTACAGGCGTGTGCCACCACCACCCGGCTAGAAGTAGATTGTTAATATAAACAATATAACCTGAAGCTAGACCCAGAGAGACAAATTTTGCATATTTTCTCTAATGTGTGTAATCTAGGTTTGAAAATACACATACACACAGACACATACATGTTTAAAGTAGGGAAAACAGGAATAAGGCGATGAGCGGGAGAAAGAAAGTCGCCTCATATTCTCTCATCTGGGGAATGAGTATGTCTACGTCATGAAAGCAGAGAGAGACTATTTGGAGAAAGGGGCATCAAAGAAAGAGGATGAGAGCAATGGACAACCGAACAAACAAGGATACAACATGTATGATAATGTCAGAATGAAACTGAATGCTAAGTAAGAAAACTAAATGAAAAGGGGTTTTCCATTGAACTGATTATGGGGTTCCCAATGGAGGAGTTAGTAAGAAGACTGAAGGAGCTGAAAGGGTTTGCAGCCCCATGGGAAGAGCAACAATACCAACCAACCAGGGCCCCCAGGGTCTAAACCACCAGCCTGGGAGCCCTCAGGGAGGGACCCATGGCTCCAGCTGTATACGTAGGGGAAGATGGCCCTGTCAGGCATAGGTAGGAGAGGAGACCCTTGGTCCCATGAAGGCTGGACGCTGTATGTGGGGGAATTCAAGGGTGGGGCAGTGGGAGTGGTGGGGTGGGTGGGGGCACAACCTCATAGAAGCAGGAGGAGGGGGGGTGGGATAGGGGATTCCTAGGAGGGAAATGGGGTAAGGGGATAACATCTGAAATGTAAATAAAATATCCAATAAAAAAAAAAAGAAAAGAGTTTTTTCCATAGTTTATCTAATTGGGGCATTCATAACAATATCAGTCTAATCTTTTTAAAATTCATTTTTTCTATTTTTTTTCTCTTAGAAAGCATTTGCTTGTGCTGAGGGAGACAATCTCCAGAGCAGAATTAATGATCTATTAAATAAGTATACAACTATGATATATAAACATCACAAAAATTAAGTTTACTTTAAGTATTAAAATACTTAAAGTAAAATTTTAAGTATTTTCTTTATTCTTATTGTATATGTACCACTGTTTGCCTGCATGTATATATGTATACCACATATATGCCAGGTGCCTGTGGAAGCCAGAAGAGAACATTAGATTCCCCAAAATTGGAGTTATGGCCAGTTGTGAGCTGCCTTGCTAGGAAACAAATCTGTGTCCTCTGCCAAAACAAGTGCTCTTAGCCATTGAGCATCTCTCCAAACCCCAAAATAACCTTCATAACTACTAACTCTATAGAGAAGCCTGCCTTTTTATCAGTTAAAGTCATGTCAGGAGATTTGTACGACTCATCACTAAAATTTAGAAAAATCTGACCTTAAGGTTAACATGTATTATCATTTGTGAAGTTATTATTTCTTCCCCATAATACACTGCTAATGGGCCTATTCCTAAACTTGATGAGTCTGAGCAAGAACGTGGGTGTGGAGGCCCATGTACCCTCATAAATCAAAATAATAAACGTGAAATACTTGGTAGTTTGAGTAAGAATGGCCTCGACTTGAGTGCTTGGTCCTAGTCACCTGACTTTGCTCTCTGAAACCCACGTAGGTGAAGGGCAGACCTGATTCCTGCTGTTGTCCCTGGCCTTCACACATGTAACATGTCTGCGCACACACACAATGAAAACAATAATATAAAAATAATACTACTATGCTGGGCATACAAGTACTCCACCTTGAGAGCCCTTGCACCAGGAGAAACACCCATCTCAGTCCTGTGAGGAGAAACACCCATCTCACAGTCCTGTGAGGAGAAACCCCCATCTCACAGTCCTGTGAGGAGAAACACCCATCTCACAGTTCTGTGAGGAGAAACCCCCATCTCAGTCCTGTGAGGCATGCATCTAAGTCGATAATATGCATAGTCCCTGACTAACATCTTTTGTAAAATCTGTAACAATACTATGGGCATAGTGCAGACCGTCTGAGATACAATATTAGTGAAAACTGTACTTAAGTTTGTTTTCCCTTATGCATACAGTTTATATGGGTATTTGTATATATATGGGGGTCCTTTCTCTCTAGGGGGAAAGTTCAGCCGTACTTATGGCCTTTGTCCAAGTTCCTGACCCCTTGGATAAAGAAAACAATGGCTTTTCCTAGACTTCATGAAATCATATTCTAACCCTAGGGATGGTTTGTTCCTACATTTTACAACGTAGGTTTCCCAAAGACCTAACCCCCACATAGACTGACTTCCTCATCTGTATATTTCTTTCGTTTTTAAAAAATTTTATGACATGCATGATGGTAGAACTTAAGCCACCTCATCAGGCCTGTGAGTCTTTGTTTTAAAGATTTATTTTATGCTGGGAAAGGCAGTAGTGGTGCTCACCTTTAATCCCAGCACTTGGGAGGCAGAGGCAGGAGGATCTCTGAGTTCAAGGCTAGCCTGGTCTGCACAGAAAAACCCAACAAAAAACAAACAGATGTTTTTTTTTTTCCTCTCTCTCTCTTCCCCTCCCACTCCCTCTCCCTCTCCCTGTCCCTCTCCTTGTCTCCCTCCCTCCTTCCCTCCCCCTCCCCCCCCCCCCCCCCCCCCCCCCGTGTGTGTGTGTGTGTGTGTGTGTGTGTGTGTGTGTGTGTGTGTTTACTCATGGAGGTCAGAAAAGGACAACTGATCCCCAAAAGTGTCCTTAGATGATGTTGTGAACCACCCAGTATGGATTCTGGGATCTGAACTTAGGTCCTCTGCAAGAGCAGCAAGTGCTCTGCTCCTGCCCATGAGACCTTTCCCCAGCCCTGTATGACTCTGCTTTTAAAACATTTACTAAGATACAGGAGCCAAATGTACAAAATAAACATATAACCTGTTTTCAACTTACAGTGTCCAGAAGTACTTTTAAATCAATGCAGAGTAAGTGATAGGGAGAATTATCTACTGGACAGTTGCTGTCAGTTTCCTTGACTTTCTTAAGAACCTTTCCACAGTATTTTACAGCCTTGTCAAGCAGTAGTGAGTGACACCTTCACTGTCTGCACAAAGGCCTCCACCCCCCCATTACTTTATTCTTTTCCCTGGCCAATCCTGAAAATGCCCATAACATCAACAAACTGCTTACGGGTCCCCAGTGTAATCTCAAAACTGGATTGCCCCCTTTTGTGTCCTAACTGCCCAACATCTTGCACACATGTATCTGTAGCAAAGTCCTGGTTTCTTGCCAATACCTGTATTCTTATTTTTTTTTTAACTTCTTGAATCCTTATTTCTTAAAGGTTGCATGAACCTCATTAAGGAGGTCAAAGAGAGAGAGCGAGAGTGCTACCCAACGTCCATTACTCCTGGGCCTGGGGATAAAATGTCAAGGAACTCTTCCTATAAAGTTTTCAGGAAGGCTCCTGGGGAGGGAGGACTTTGGCCCCATCTCACTT